AATCCCTTTGTGTTCTTGTAATCCCAATAAATAAATTCCCCCCCGCCCAAAGGTGATCCGTGTCCTCCGCTACCTGGGCAAATATTACTTTTTTTCTTCTTCTTTTTACCTTTTGTGTATTTTTTCCTCTTTCTCTTTTCAGTATTTTTCTTTCTTTCTTTCTTGTTTTTTTTTATTATTATTTTCTTTCAGTTTATTCTTATTTATTTTCTCTCCTTCTTTCTGTTTTTTTTTCTATTTTACTTCACTTTTCTCTGATTCGACTGTTTCATGAAAGCTTTCCATCCCATCCCTTCCTCCTCTCTCTTCCTTTCTTCCTCTGTCCATACCATTCCTCTCTCCCTCCCTCCATACCCATCCTTGCTTCCTTCCTTCCTTCCTTCCTTCTCCCCCCTTCCCATCTGTCCACCCCTTCCTCCTTCTGCTCCATTCCGCCCCTCCTTCCTTTCTCCACCCAAACTATCCCTCCCTCTCCCTTCTCCCTCTTTCTTCTTCCTTCTTTACCTTCTCCCCCATTCCCATCTTCTCCACCCCCTCCTTCTTCTGCCCATTCATCCCTCCTTCCCTTTTCTCTCCACCCAAACTCATCCCCTCCCTCCCTCCCTCTCTCTCCTTTTCCCCTTCTCCTTCCCTCCCCACCCTCCCCCTCCTTCCTTCCCCTCCTTCCCTCCCTCCTTCTTCCCTTCCCACTCCCCTCCTTTCTCCCTCCTTCCCTACTCCACCCCACCCTCCTCCCCTCCCTCCCTCCCTCCCTCCCTTCCCTACTCCCTCCTCCTCCCTCCTTCCTCCCTCCCATCCCACCCTCCCTCCCTCCCTCCTTCCTTCCCTCCCTACCCCTCCTCTTCCCTCTCCTTTCCTCCGTAGCACAGCCCATTAATGGTCAATAAAGGTCAAAGCCAGAGGTCACTGTGAAAGGTCAGGTCAGGTTACTTTCCGGCTCGCGTGGTTACCAAAGGCGTATCAAACCACCCTAGTCGATACTCTCTATTACAGAAGGGCAGAAAGGTCAAATTCACATGAACTTTATTCCTCACATTAGATTCAGTTAAGTTTGATCAAGTTTGGTTAGATTATTATTTTTTTTAATTTGTCAAGGGATCGAAAAATACCATTACGATACATTGGGAAAAAAATATATATTATTTTTGTTGAATAATGATCCTTCACTAAACATCATCCTACCGTCAGCATCCTCTTTGTTATTTTAATCATCCATATTCTTCCTCCCCCAATCATCAACCCCCCAATCATCCACTTCTAATCATCCACCCCCTGCCCCCATTGTTTGGCCTGCTGTGATGTAGTGGCCAAAGGACCCGCTTTGTAAACACGAAGACCTGAATATGATTCCTCCCTCATTCCATTCCTTCCTGGTGTATTTACCTCTGTCCGTCCAGCGGTGATTGGAGGGGTTGGATGTAAATCGATTGGAGGGTTGTGTTTCAGGGTTATTGGTTAGCCAGTGCGGTTAGTGAGTTGCCCGGTCTTCCTGGGCTCTGGTGCTGGGTTACTACTGCTATACTGTTCGGTGTGGTTGTTGTGATGGGTGTGCTGTTGTGGTGGTGGCAGCTTCTACACCTTGATACAGAGTTACACAGGTAAACTAAAATCTCATTTCTTAGTCTTTCTTTTAATTTCTTCACTTCACCGCTTATATTTCTACTAATTTTTATCCACTTTTCCTCTTCTCCCCTTCCCTCTCCTCTATTTATCCCTCTCTCTTCCTTCTCTTTCTCTCCTAATTCTCCGTTTCTTCTCTTCATCTCTTCCTATTTTCTCCCCTCCTTCCCTTCCTCTCCTCCCCTCCTCCCCACATGTCTCGGGGAAGAACGCTGCTCCCCGACACAAGTGCATCACTTTTACTACCAGAAAGACATTTAGCATTGAAGAGAGGAAAATGCCCCGAAGGAATATGTCTTACTAGCTTGAGATGTCTAGCTGGCGAGGAAATATGTCTGATAACGTAAAATGTCTTGTTGGGGAAAAAATATGTCTAGTAATCTGAGATGTCTTGTTGGGAGGGAACTTTTTTTTTAAAACTATGAAATGTTTTGGTTTATGAAATATGTCTGAATGGGACATTAGTCTTGGAGGAAAGGAAGACTGAGAGAGAGAGCCAAACAAACAAACAGACATATAAAGTTACACACAAAAAAAAAACAGTCACCCTACAAAACATCATCACTTACACACACACACACACACACACACACACACACACACACACACACACACAGTTGACTAAATTATACATAAATATAGCCAAAAATATACTAAATATACCCGACAATAATATACACGATCTATTAACTTGTACTAGAGTTATAGGGGAATATAACATATCAATATGTACTGTCATATTTTTCCGGCTTATGTCATGGGAAGTGGTTTATATATGGGTAGGTTATATGAGGGTATACTGTAGGTCACATATGTTATAGTAGACTAGTGATAGGGAGTTACCATACATACATACATACATACATACATACATACATACATACAAACATTCAGACTTACATACATACATACATATATACACACATACGTACATACATACACACATACATACATACACGCACAGAGGAAGTATAGTGTTCTCTCTGCACAAAAGATGAAAGAAAAACAAATTTGTGGACATGGTAAATATTTTAAGAGCTGCTCAGTGTGCCTTTATATACATACATACAAACATTCAGACTTACATACATACATACATATATACACACATACGTACATACATACACACATACATACATACACGCACAGAGGAAGTATAGTGTTCTCTCTGCACAAAAGATGAAAGAAAAACAAATTTGTGGACATGGTAAATATTTTAAGAGCTGCTCAGTGTGCCTTTATAGTATAACCTCCATAATATTAGCATTTATTCCTCGAAATAAAAGTACCCAGAAAAATTAAATTTATTTAGAAATACGATTATACCTTTTAAAAATTCGTTATATTTGATTTTAAACTCCAAAAAATTGTATTGGATTTTTTTTATGGTCGCCTAAACTACAAAGACGAAAAATAGAATAAACTTATAAAAGAAAACATTAAAAACCTATAAAAAAATCAATATATTTAACTAAACTCTAAAAAAAATATATAATTTTTTTTTTCGTTTGTGAGAAAATTTGATGAATTAACTGAAGCCCAAATGTATTTATCGTTCTTTGGGGAAGAATGCAATCGGGAGGGGACGGGGGGGGGGTGGGGTCGGAAATTGGGAAGGTTCCTGAGGGAATTGAGATGATATTGACTTCATTGTTTCCAGTAAATGAAATATTCGTGGGAGGTGTCGGTGTTCTGTCAGTCAGTGTCTGCAGTGATGAGGCGAGACTTAAAGTAGACAGTGCAGGTGTACAAATAACAGGTGTACACATAACAGGTGTTCAAGTAATAGATGTACAAATAACAGGTGTACACATAACAGGTGTACAAATATTAGGTGTACAAATAACACAAATGAACAAAAAATAAGCTTTATCATTTTAAAAAGTATTATAGCAAGTTTGTTTTTTTAATTTTAACATAAATATTAACTCAAAATTACCCCGGTCTTGTTAGTGATTCAGGAATACGAGTTTTCTAATGGTTAAACAGTAATTAACTAACATATAATCATACTCAAACAAGTAAACAGTTAAATAGGGTCATATAATCCTTAATTACACATACTGGATACAAATTATAATATATGCAGTAAATAAATCCGGTATATACGATTGAATACTCTATTAAAACAACTCACCAACGGTTCCGGTAAATCTAAATGCATTCCGGTAGAAACAAAAATTATATCAAATCTTTTTCTCTGTCATAAATATTGATATAAAATAATAAAAAATGATAACTCCAACAATATCATGAAACAATAAGAAATATATCTTTATGTGAGATGAAAGGTATAATATAGTTCATTAGAAGAATATATTTCTAAAGAGGTTCCTTGGTGTTTTTTTCTTTATGAAGACGTAACTCATATGAAGGCTAAGAGAACACCAGAATAGGATAAGAGATGATGAGGTACTAATCACAGAGGAAGAAGGAATAGGAGGAAGAAGAAGGAGTAAGAGCAGGAGGAGGAGAAGTTTACCATAGTCCTCCATAAAGTATCTAAAAAAAACGCGCTAGACAAAGAAAACGGGAACAATGTTGGAACAATGTTTATTCTTATACTCTTAATACAAAAACAAAGACTTCAAAAGACGACTTACTTATAAGCTCCTTCACAGATATGTATATAATAATAATAATTAATATACGTTGAGACAGAGAGAGAGAAAGGAGACAGAGTTTGGAGATAATTAAAAGAGACGAAATAGACTGAATTTGGAGATAATTAAAAAAACTGTCTGTCTATAAACTAACCAGAATGTGTTGTTATGATCGATTGTGGTGTTTTATAGAAATAAGGACCGTAATTAGGCTTTGTATTCAGCTATTGTTGTGTTTATAAGACTCTTAATTACCAGATATTTTGAGAAGATTATGTTGGCATTATTAGTGGCGTATAAAGTGTTGTTCTCGTGTGGGAGTGAATCCCCTCTTAACCCCTTGAGTACGATGATTCTAACACCATTGAGTACGATGATTCTAACCCCTTGAGTACGATGATTCCTGTATGAGGTACGATTATTTTAACCTTTAGTGATAGATCACTTCTCAGGTACGATAGTTCTTTACCCTTGGTGATGATTCTAACCCCCTTGAGTGTGATGATTCTAACACCCTTGAGTACGATGATTCTAACCCCTTGAGTACGATGATTCTAACCTCTTGAGTACGATGATTCTAACCCCCTTGAGTATGATGATTCTAACCCCTTGAGTACTGTTACCGCCACAGTAGCATGATTCTAACCCCTTGAGTACGATAATTCAAACACCCTTAGTACGGTGATTTTTAACCCCTCGAGTAAAATGGGAAGCAACACACAGTGGACACCAAGACAAATTTGATCAGTAACACACACACGGGGCTGCAACACTTACATGTATGGTTGACTCTATCTTCTCCACGATAGGTGTGTCAGTGTTATGAACCTCCTTCCTCGACTGTGAACAAGAGAGAATGTTATTATGTTAAGTCAGTCATATTTCCTTAAGCTTTCGATACAAATAATGGTAAATATGCTTAATAAACTGATTAAGCTTAAATATCATATTACCCAGCTTATACTATCATTCATTCTCAGCTTCAAGATACAAACAACAATAATTAAGCTGAAAAAATTGATCAAGCTTTACAATACTACCCAGCTTAGACACTCACTCATCCCAACACTCACAGAAGAACTCACAATAATATAAACACCATCTCTGTAATTCAACCCCATATTAAAACTAATGCCCGCCGTATATCAAGGTCACATTCTAGATACCCCAATACTACTACTTAATGAGTGATTGGTTTAGTTCATGTTTAGATAGTGGTTGGAGGCCATATTGTTTTGAGTCCGTATTTAGTGAGGTTTGAGTACACTGAGTCCATATTTAGTAAGGTTCAGTAAGGCAAAGGTTCACTGAGTCGAAGCTTCAGTAAGTCCGATACGTTTCAACTTCAGTAAAGTCGAGGTTCACTGAGTCCAAGCTTCAATAAGGCCGAGATCCATTGAGTCCAAGCTTCAGCCAGGGTCCACTGAGTCCAAGCTTCACTGGCGACGCGACAGGAGGTGCGACAGTTAAAAGTTACAACTGTCGCACACCAAGAAGTGAATTTGTCTCCTCATTTTTCTGCTCTTTCTCTCTCTTTATTATTATTATTATTATTATTATTATTATTATTATTATTATTATTATTTATTTATTTATTTTTTATTATTATTATTTTATTTTATTATTAATATTTGGTGTGATCCGTTTTGTTGTTGTTGATTCTCTCTCTCTCTCTCTCTCTCTCTCTCTCTTCGCAACAATGGTGTCTATACACAAGTCTTGTACCTCTCCTCTCCCTTCCTCTCACTTCCTCTCCCTTCCTTTCCCTCCCTTTCCTCTTCCAGATTTCTTCCCATTTGTTCCTCTCTTGAAGCACTCCCTCCTCTCCCTTCTCTCTTCCTCCCCTCTCCACGATTTCTTCTTCCCTCTCCCTCTTCTCTTTCTCATCCTTACCCATTCCTTTCTTTCCCCTCTCATCCTCCCCTTTCCCCTCCCTCTTTTCTTAGGCTCCTTCCTCTGTCACCTCTTTCTCTCTTCCTTTTCCCTTTTGCCTTCTTTCCCCTCTCTCTCTTGTCCCCTCTTCCTGTTCTCCTTATCCCTTTCACTATCATTAATCTCCCTCTCTCTCTCTCTCCCATTCGTTTCTTTACATCCGGTTCGTTTACTGTCCCATTTTTCCCTCCCACTCGCCTCCATCTTACTTTCTTTCTCTCCTTTTTTGTTTTGTCACCATCTTTTCCCCTTCCCTCTTTGTCTCCCACCCTCCCTTCCTCCTTACCTACCCCTCTACCCCTCCATCCCTAACTCACTATTTTCCTCGTGTGTAAAACAGTGGAGATGACAGGAGGCATTAGTGTTCAAGGTAACGTGTTCCCAGGTGTTAATTGGCTTAAATCTGTTGATATATCTTCACTATAGCCTAGAATAACAAGTTGTACATAAAGACTTCAATTCCTTCCTTCGTCAGCTGTTATGTGTTGTTGTTGTTGTTGTTGTTGTTGTTGTTGTTGTTGTTGTCGTCTTTGTTGTTGTTGTTGTTGTTGTTGTTGTTGTTTATATAAATAGTGTATATGATTTTTTTGATGTAAAGGATTGATATATATATATATATATATATATATATATATATATATATATATATATATATATATATATATATATATATATATATATATATATATATATATATAATTACCTGGAAAATAATGATATATTAATAGAGGTTAGGTTAGGTTAGGTTAGGTTAGGTTAGGTTAGGTTAGGTTCAGGTTAGGTTAGGTTAGGTTAGGTTAGGTTATTGTATAAAACATTGATAAACTGTATAATAAAAACAAATTATTTTAATGATTACAATTTGTTGAAGCTCATGTGTGTAAAAGCTGTTGGCACTAATGACTTATGACTATTAATTGTTGATAATTATTGTGTCTACAGGTAATTAAAATCTCTTTGTATTGGGTAATTGATATTAAAGGTATATTAATTAAAGAGATATATATACATAATGACTTTAATTTAGGTAATGGTTTATAGAAGTAATTAGAGTATTAGTTTCAATGGGTCGGATTGGCGTTGACTTAGATGACTGTGTTGTTGATCCACCTGTTGTACAATTAGGGTCAACTATCATCGTCTGTCAGCTAGTTATATTGTTACTTCTCTATACACGTAAATAAAATCATCTTAGCTGAAATAGAACCAGGTAGACAGACACACATACACACACACACACACACACACACACACATCATCAGACAAGTCAGTGTTACCAAAGTGAGATTACTACCATTTGCATATTATTGCCTTAATATGTTCCTGACCATCAACCATCTGCAGTATTGGTAACATCTGTAACCCCCTCCACACACACACACACACACACACACACACACACACACACACGGGAAGGATGGACTGGTGGTGGATATACTAAATAATGTAACAGTCTGAAGATTTTAAAGCATGGAGTCTTAATATCCCTGTGTGTGTGTGTGTGTGTGTGAGTGTGTGTGTGTGTGTAAAGAAGTAGAGTCTATTTAAATTGATGTGACGGTCGTATGAGAATTGTTGTGTTGTTGTGTTGTGTTGTAGTGATAATGCTGGTGTTGGTATAGACTCTGAGAGGGACAGTGTTGGTGAGACTCCACGCCGGCGCACCTCACATAATATTAAAGATCTCGTAGTTGTTGCAGATTCTATGTTCTGTACAGACGTCACATTGGCTCACGGCCAGGACTGGTGAAGTTGCCCCGCTAAGCTTCAACACAGCCTAAAACTGCCTTACAGCCTAATTTACCACGGAGTCTAAGCTGAAACAGAGTCTAAGCTTATCTACCACATAACCTAAGATAACATTACTGTGTCTCCCATCATCAGCCTCCCTCTCCTCCTCCTCTCAGTGTCGTCTTATCTCCGTCGTCCATCGCATCATTTCCTCTCTACACACCTGTTTGTATTGTCTGTCTCTATCCCTTTAATTTATCTTACTCTCTCTTGCTGCCTTTCTCCTTCTCTCCTTCTCTCCATCATCTCCTCTTCTCTCTAACATCATCCTCACCAATACACTTCTCTCTCAAAGACTGTGGACCATCTCTGTGTTTCTCTCGCCTTCCCGTCTCTCACACAACGTCTCTTTCACCCCCCTCCCCCTGTCTCGTCCCTGTTTCTCTCACCCCCCTCCCCCGTCTCTCACATCCGTCTGTCACCCCCCGTCACCCCCCGTCTCACGCTCCACCTCCAGTATTACCGTCACCCAATCATCCGTGATATTCGCCCCATCCCCAAAACGACTCAATATTGTAGGTAGTCTAGTCTCCCCATACCTGATACCTTTAATCCACACACACACACACACACACACACACACACACACACACACACACACACACACACACACACACACACTCCATCGATTCAGGTGACAGGTATACGGTTTGTTGTAGTGATCAGTAACCACAATGGCTTTAATGTATCATAGTGGGAGTTACAGTAAGTTAGTTGATCAGTAAGTTAAGGTGTGTTGGAGTTTTAGGGTAAGTTACCACAACACTTGTTTTTTGTTTTTTTTGGTGTGTTTGTCTTCCTAAAATGTATGACTTGTTTGGGTGTATTGTGTGTGTGTGTGTGTGTGTGTGTGTGTGTGTGTGTGTGTGTGTGTGTGTGTGTGTGTGTGTGTGTGTGTGTGTGTGTCAATAAATAAAAACAGGAGAAAAGGAGGAAAAAGTCTTGGCAGAATTGGGCAAGAGGTGGCGGCAGCGTTCCTTTAAGACGTCTGTTGTTTATTAAGGCACAGCAGCTTTCTCCGCCTCGATGTGTAATGGTTGAAGCAGAGGCCAAGTGACAAATAAACCTTACACACACACACACACACACACACACACACACACACACTTTATTTACAGTGGGTGGGCTGACCTCCCTTGACCTGTGTTGACTGAAGCAGCATTAGTAGGTCAATGACTTTACCGTATCTATTATAGTTACTGGGTGTGTGTGTGTGTGTGTGTGTGTGTGTGTGTGTGTGTGTGTGTGTGTGTGTGTGTGTGTGGTTAGCTTTTTCGAAGTATTTATGTTCTGTAATGATCAATATTTAACTAAGATAAATATATATATATTTCTTTTACATAAACCTAACCTAACCTTACCTAACCAAACCTTACCTAACCAAACCTTACCTAACAAACCTTTACCTAACCAAACCTTACCTAACCAAACTAACCTAACCTTACCTAACCAAACCTTACCTAACCACCACAACGACATGACTGGCTTAAAAAAAAAAAGTAATAAAATTTCTTCCCAACGATATAAGTTGATTTTTTTTTTTTAGTCAAGGTCATACAATACATCACTAGTTCCGGGAAGAGTAGTGGCAGAGACGAAAGAAAACGGAGACATTCTTTACCGGGAACAATTTTAAATCAACTTGTGTGTAAATTGTGTTAAACATAATTGAATTCCGTTGCATTTAACTTCCCTCCCCCTTGAGCGGTCCATTAGGTGATCTGTTCACGGGCCCATTTACTATAGTGGTAAAATGTTTCAGTATATTATTATCTATTGGTGACACAGAGACCAGATGATATTTGTTATTGGCTTGACCTGTGTGTGTGTGTGTGTGTGTGTGTGTGTGTGTGTGTGTGTGTGTGTGTGTGTGTGTGAGACCAACTGACTGACTGACTGACTGACTCAACCACCTGACTGACTCACTCTTTCTACCTGACCTGCGATGGCTCAGAACATAACCTGATCATTGACGCTCATCTGGTTGTTGCACTGCATCTTCAATACCGTCTTCTCCGATATTGCACATGCATGAGAGTGGATGTAAATAGCGTTATGTATGTATGTATGTATGTATGTATGTATGTATGTATGTATGTATGTATAAGCAGAAGGTG